TAAAATTAAAAAATATATATTATTGATTTTAAAATTTTTAACTAGTTTATTATTATCAAGTACGAGTAAGGGTAATTCTGCCAATTGGTCTTGCCGTAATAAGAGTAAATACGTATTGAGCTTCGTATCAATTTTTTTTTGTTGGTTGATCATGTATAAAATCTTTTGCGTTAAATCTTAATCTAATTAATGTAGTACAGTATTGATTACGTTTTTGGAGAATAAACATAACCAAGCATGCATGCCTGCAACGAAATTACCTTGAAATTTCCTAGCCTGCGCACTTTCTACTTAATTATTAGTATTGTTTAACAGAAAATGCAAATATATAAAATGTAATAATGAAAATCATTCAAAGTCACATTATAATTGATTTTTTTTTAATGATAAATTGTTGCACATTTTAAAAGATGATTTTTTAAGTGTTAACAAAAAAAACTTAAACTCTGTATTTTTGACATACAAAAAATTATTTTTAAAAAATATTTTATGTCAAGTGTTTGACCCAGCATAACACTCTTATTTAACTTACATTTCTCAAAATTAAGAAAAACTATTTACATAAGGAGCGTGTTAAATGAAAAAATTGAGTATAAAAATAAAAAAAAATGTATAGATTAAATACAAAAAAAATTATTTTATTTATTGATCAATTAATTTTAAATTAAATACAAATTTTATATTGAACTTACATGCATAATTTTTACAGTAATAAAAAACAAGTTTGATTTATAAGATCACATAATGGAGAAACCAGTATTCTATTTTAGGAGAAAACTTAAAACCCCGTAGATTAACAGATAGTCTTTCTTCGTATGAACCGAAAAATAGTGGTTTAAAATATTGTGAAACTAAATTAAATCTCTTTTATTTTATTTTTTTTAATGGTAAGTCTCTTTTATTTTTTTTTCAGTAAATCTCATGTTCGAAGAAATTGTTTTCTTAACGTCATTATCACAACTGGTCAGATTTTTAATTAGTAAATTATTTTGAAGATTGTAGAATGAGGGATGAAGGAACGGGATTACCAGGGTTTGAACTCTGGTTCAGAGTGCCACCACTTTTTATTTTTTTTAAAGAGTTGTGGTTATTTATTTATTTATTTTTGAATAAGTGCAATTTTGGGGGAAGGAGGAAGGGATTGAATCCAATCTTTGGGGCCCGGGAATCACACTTTTAACCCACCAACTTATAAAGTTAGGTGTAAAGAGTTGTAATTATTTGATCACATGGTGATAAGCTAAATAAATTATGAAAAAAAATTTATTTATATAAAAATTTTAGATATTATATTTATATAAATTTTTAATTATTTATTTTT